TTGAGTGAGTTGGGTTTTCTAGTTGGCGGACCTATGACCCTATTCTGTGATAACAAAACAGCCATAAACATTGTTGCTAATCCAATGCTGCATGATAGAACTAAACACATTGAAGTCAACAAACACTTTATCAGAGAAAAGGTCGTCACAGGGGAAGTGTGTACTCCTTATGTTAGCTCTGAAGATCAACTTGCAGACATCTTTACAAAAAGGTTACACCACTCACGGCATCATGGTTTATGTGACAAGTTGGGCATGATTGACATCTACGTCCCAACTTGAGGGGGAGTGTTAAAAGGTTGTTAATTCTCTAAGTATAGTACCGCATGGGTACTATTGTAATTTTCTCCTTTTATTTTTTATATCATGTCGTCCTAGTATATATACCAAAAGCTGGCACTGCCAGTAAGGACTTTTGGCTCTCAGATCTCTCTTCTCTCTTCCTCTCTTCTTCTCTCTCTTTTCTCTCTTCCTCTCTTCTTCTCTCCTGCATAACAGTTTCCACTGGATAGAGGATTCATTAAACTAAATTTTAATGGTAGCAGTTTGGGAAATCCAGGACCATCAAGAATTGGATGTGTATTTAGAGATTTTTTGGTAACAAAATAAAAAATATATATTAAAATAAAAAGGAGAAAGCACAAGGAGGGTGACCAGTAATCACTTGAGAGAAAAATAACTCCCACAAATAACCCTAAAGGGACAAATCCGAGAAACCCAATACCCAAAACTCCAAGAGATGTATAACTCGCTATAACAATCAAGCCTGCAACGCGAAACAAATAAACAGGCCCATACACAGACTGAAAAACAGATAAAACTTCAACCCAAATCCACCCTTGAATAGCCTCACTACTTTGACCCACAGCATCATCGAAGAAAAAACACCCAAACAAGACACKACTGAACCCTCCAAATCTGTTATTTCTTGATATTCTCTTCAATTTCATTATCTTCTTGTTTGGTCCAAGCCCAAGAAGACCCCCTTTCAACCTAGAAAAAACTTTTGAGACCAAGATATCTTTATGTTTTTTCTGATTTCTAAACTTTTAACTGCTAGAGCATCCTTCCTGATCTTCTTCAAAACATCAGGCTCCTCGTTGATTCTTTCCAGTTCCATGACAATTTTTCTCAAAAAATTTAACATCATCCACCTCTGTACTTTTTTTCAAAACTGGTTGGGACAGAGATTCTCTAAGAGCAAAAGTGATGGCAGTGTTGGAAGGCATACAAAGGTGAGAAAAATATACCAGAAATTGAGTGGATGGAAAAGATATTAGCTTCTTGTAATCCTCAGAAACGAGATTCATCAAAAAAAAAGATAATCCTCATAAAGGAGGGTTTTAGACTCCGGTTATGGAGAGATTTCAAAGAGACTTGCCTTTTGGAAGAAAAATTACCTTTCCCTTGGAGGGAGAATCACCCTAATAAGGTCTGCCTTAGCTAACTTGCATGTTTATTATTTGTCGGTTTTCAAAATTCTGGCAAGGGTGGCTAGTAAGCTGGAAAAACTAATAAGAGACTTTCTTGGGAGCAAGGGAAGGAGAAAAAGGACCAACCATAGGATTGGGTGGGAAGTGGTGTGCAGGAGTAAGAGGGATGGAGGCCTTGGCATTGGGAATATAAGGAAGAGAAATTTGGCACTACTAGGGAAATGGTTGTGGAGATTCTCATTAGAAAAAGAAAAGTTGTGGACTAGGATAGTGGGTAGTATTCACGGGCTTGCTAAGAACGGATGGGACTCTTGGACTCTAGCTAGGACTACAAGGGCATCACCCTAGAAAGCAATCCAAGCTATTTTGCCTCTATTCTCTCCATGGATCAGGTATGACTTACACTCAAGCAATCTCATTAAATTCTGGGAACATGTTTGGATTGGGGATAGTCCTTTTAAAAGACCAATTTCTGGCTCTCTTTGCAATCTCTACCTTTAAGAATAAACCAATATCCTCTTTCCTTGTACCCTCTAATTCAACCTCTGGCTTTGGTTGGAACTTGGGTTTGAGAAGAGATATTAGGGACTCAGAATTGGAGAGTACTTTAACTCTGTTATCCATCCTTGAGGAGGTTTTTTCTAGAACCAACAATTATATATAGTAGAATCTGAACCCTCTCTCCTTCGGGTTCCTTTATTGTTTCTTCTTTCTTTAAAGCCCCAACACAACCAGTTGTTCCTTTTGGTTTGCCTTTCCCTATCAAAGAGATGTGGTGTGAACCTATTCCTCCAAAGATTTGGAGTTTTTGTTGGGAAGTTGTTTTAGAAAGAGTTAACACAGGTGATTTGCTTCAAAGAAAAAGGCCCAATAGATGTTTGTCTCCTCATTGGCGTGTCCTCTGTAAAGTTGTGGGTGAATCTAGTGTTCACTTACTAATCTCCTGTGAATTTGCAAAATCTATTTGGGAATGGTTTGCTTCTTTGTTTGGATGCAGGTGGAATTCTCCAAAGGATGTGCAAAGCTTGTTTACCTCCCCTCCCTCCAACTAGCCAAAGGGTGAGGATTATGTGGAGATGTGTTAGGGCAGCCATATGTTAGACTATTTGGGAGGAAAGAAACTTAAGGATTCTCTCAGAAAAGGAGAGAAGCATGGAAACAGTATTACAGGTGACTCACATAAGGGTAATTCAATGGCTGAAAACTTTGGATATATTTGCAGATTTCTCAATGGATGATTTGCTAAGAAAGTGGAAGGAAATTGCAAACTCGGCTTCAATCAGAAAGGTCTCAAGTTCCCATTGGAGCCCTCCACCTCTCGGCTTTATCAAACTGAACTTTGAAGGCAGCAGTATGTATGGGCAATCCAGGGCCCTCGGGAATAGGAGTACTAAGAGATGAAAAAGGGACTATCATAGCATTGTTCTCTGGCCCAATCAAAGTGGGAGATTCTCTGAGGGCAGAGATACCAGCAGCTCTGGAATGGGTACAAAGGGCTAAAGACCTGAATGTCAACAAAATGATCATAGAAGGAGACTCTGAGACTGTAGTGAATTGGTTAAATGAAGACACTTCTAGGCTTTGGAACTACAACAATGAAAAGAGGAAATTTAAATGGTTTACTAAGGACATGGAAGTTCGATGCAAATGGGTAAAGAGAAGTGCAAATTCATTTGTAGATGGCTTAGCGAGGCAAGGAGTGAATAGGAGTTCTGTTCTTTGAGCACAGTTGTAATTGTTCTTTGTTTTTTGGGTGTATGTTTGACTGTTTTGGGGAGTTAAGATATTTTAGTTCCTCTCCTTTGTAATATTATTCTCATTTAATGAATCTTCTGTTATTGATAAAAAAAAAGTATCTCTCTTCAAGGGGTAGAGTGACACTTATAAAGAGTACCCTTTCAAACCTTCCTACTTATTTCCTCTCCCTATTTTCCATCCCTTCTAAAGTAGCAAAGAAATTAGAGACCCTGTAGAGAAATTTCCTTTGGAGAGGCTAGGAAGAAGAAAGAAAAATCCATCTTGTTAATTGGGATCAAGTATGCTTGTCAGTGGAGGAAGGTGGTTTGGGAATAAGAAAAAAAAAAGGTATTTAATACTGTGCCCTTCTGAGCAAATGGCTTTGTAGATTTGGATATGGAAGAAATGCTTGGTAGAGGAATTTAATACCTACTAAATATGGTGTGGACTGGGGCAACTGGACATCCTTGGACCCTCTATGAAGATAGGCTGAGATTCTGGAAGGATCCATGGTACTTGGATAGCCCTTTAGCTGAGGTCCCCCCCCTATCAGTGTGCTGCTAACCCAGATGTTTCAGTTGCTGACTCCTATGGCCTGGCTGAGAATTTAGTGCCCTGGAGTCAATTTAGACGTAATCTTTTTGACTGGGAATTGGATGAGATGTTGGAGCTGCTACAGCATTCACAGAGGCAAGTTATTTCTACAAATCTTGAGGATAAATGGAGATGGCTGTTATTCAATTAAATCCTTGGCAACTAAACTTAGCAGGGCCAACATTACTGGCTTCCCTAGCAAACAGGTATGGAACCCACTCAGTCCTTCTAAGTCAAACTTTCTGGTCTGGGCTTTGGTGCTGAATAAGTGCCTTTGAAAAGTCAATCTGAGATTCTGGATAGGTGAGGAATGCAGCTCCTGGATCTGAAGTGTGGTCTATGTAGGCTTCTGCCAGAGATGGTTGATCACCTAAGCATTGACTGCTCTCTATCTCTTCTAAGGTTTAGGAGCAATTTCTCAAAGCTGCTGGTGTTTGCTGGGTCATGCCAGGTTCTGTCAAAGAGTTATTATGTTTCTGGAAGCTGCCTGGTCTGAGGAAGAAAGGGAAGCTGATTTGGAAAACCATTCCTGCGGCTCTTCTAGTGTCAATCTGGTCTGAAAAAAAAAATTAACTGAATCTTCTGTAACAAAGTGAAAAGTTCAGATGATCTAATCCAGCTTGCTGTGAGCAAACTGATCTCTTGGTTATCTGTAATCGCTGAGTTCAAGCATCAAAATGTGTTCCAGTTGCTTTACTCTCAGCCTGTGTGGAATTTGTATTTCCTGGTGAGGTCTGCTGGGAAGCTGTTGCAATCTATTTCCTCTTTTATCAATAAAATTTTTACCTTACCTTTCAAAAAAAATACAAAGGGTGAGAAAAATGAACATTAGTAAGCTATTTGTTGAGGGAGATTCCAAACTGGTAATCAACTGGCTACAAGATGAGGGGATGAAGATGTGGGTATATAATAATGAAAGGAAGAAAACCAGGTGGTTAAATAGAGACATGGAAGTCACAGTTGGGTTAAGCAGGGTGCTAACTCTGTGGCTGATGCATTATCTAAAGGAGTGGGGAGAGAACCTTTGTTTTGGGCACAAGCTCTAAGGGAGAAAGAGTAATTTGGGGAGAGATAAGAGGTTTTGTTTCTCACTGTCTTTGTTCTGTACTTATACTCATTGTACTTACTACTATTTGTTCTTATTAATAAAAAGTTATTGTGGTTATTGATAAAAAAACTAGAAAACAGAAGTGATGGTCTAACTGCTATGTAGCCAAAGCTGTTGACAAATATTACCTGAATAAATGATCAAGCAATGCATCTTCCATTGGCTCACGAGAGAACATCTTGTAAGTCATATCTGATTCAGTATATTTCTTCAGAACAGAGATGGAAGAGAATGGAAGGTCAGGAACCTCAGTTGTCCCCACTAGTTCGGGAACCTCTGATACTGAATGAAGTCCAAAATATGTCTGACGAGAATATATTCAGCAAGAATTCAAAGAAAATAAGCTATTAGAAAAATGCAAAGGAAAAATCCCATAAAAAGGAGAATAAGGAAAGATGAGAGAGAAATAGATTGCTCACAGGATTTAAGAGGCCTCTTATGAAGGTTGTGTATGTGTGCTGAAATTTCCTCTCAGGAATTGAAACTGGAGGAGAAAACTGGATATTTAACTCATCCAGTGGTGTAGCAAGTACTGTGACTTGACAACTATAACTGTTTCCCTTTGTGGAGTTAAGTTCATAATAGTCTCCCAGATAGGAGATAAATTTTATCTCTTCTTGAAGATGCAGTGTAGCATTTGAATGATTTATGAGTTCAGCAGGAATCTGCCAGTTGCCTCCTTCAATTGACCATAATCCTCCACCAGAGCCTGCCAAAGATACTGCCCCAGCAAGCCCACTGATGCTAACACTTTGACCATAGTTAATTCTTGTAATTACCTGCAAATGAAAGTCCACTTACAAAGTTAGAAATCATTTAGAATTGTCATGGATATGTGACTAACCATTTAAAAGTGCATGTGAAAAACATACAGTAGATTTTTTTCTTTTAATCTGTTTTTATCTTCAGCTCAGTTTTACACTTGTTTGTCCTTGGCTCCTTGCCATTAGGACCAAGGTCTTTGTCTCCTGAATCCTCTCATTAAAAGAGATGGGCAATCAGACTCAAAATGTTAGTTTCCTGGGAAAAATTCTGGGTGAGGCTACAGAAAGGCTGGGGAGTTCATACCTAATTTATCATGTAGAGGTGTTTGGTGGCTACCCCTATATGGGTCTCATCTAAGAGAATGTCCAGGCTGAAATTCTGCATAATCACATGGCCACTAGAGAGGTTTGATGCCTTGACAATGGATGAAAAGAACAATCTACATCCCGCTCATTGGTGGTTAAAAACCAAATGATCATGCTAAATTTTTAAGCAGGATACGTTTTAGATGGCATCCAACCAGTAGCTGGTTCCAATCCTCTGTACATGACATATTGAGATACGGCCACCTTAGATGGTTGTAAAATGCATGTAGAAACAAACTTGTGAAGTGCACCCATTTAGCTTTGTTTAGAAACCTAAACTACTTCCCTCATTCTGTATACTAAGAACCAATAAAAATACTGAGTGAGAGCAAAATCAACTCACAAACAAGAAGTACAGTTGAATTTGCTAGTAATAATATAAAGTACATTAACAGTATTCCCCCACTCTCTCACATACAGAGGTTTCTAAACAAAGCCCTAGAAACAGATTCATTTCCCTTTAAGGCCTCATTCTATTTGCTGGGAAGTTGTTTACCTGGGCAAATGTATTTACCAGGGAAGTGTTACCCCAGTAAATACATTTACCTGAGTTCTTTTGCCAGGAAATGTTAGATGGGTAACTGAGACAATTTTCCAAAGGCCAAAAGACCCCTAGCTTTTGTATGCTGGCAGGGGTATTTTAGTCCCACATAGCTTGATCGATAAATTGAACTGCACTGCAAGAATCAGCCTCAAATATGAAAATAATGGCCTATGCCTACATTGAATGTGCAGAATATTCAAATAAGGGTCCGTTTGGTTTGCAGTTGGAAATGGAATAGGAATCTTTTGGAACCAGAATTGGAATGGTCTATTCCCATAGTCTGTTTGGTTCAGACAGGAATGGGAATTGAGAATTGGAATAAGCAGGAATGGGATTTTATTCTCAAGGGAGGGGTAGGGAATGGCCATTCCCTCAAATGGGAGAATGCCATTCCAGCAGGAATCAGAATGGGATTCCAATTCTGCCCAACCAAACAATTGGAATCGGAATAGCCCATTCCGATTCCGATTCCAGACCCCTATTCCCGTGAACCAAATGAGGCCTAAGTGCAGAAAAACATGTAACCTAAGCATTATATTTGCTAAGATTTAATGAAATATACCACCAAAGTCTGCTACAAATTTGAAATCATGTTGTAACTTTTTTATGAGAAACCATGTTGTAACTATGCCATGCACATTTCTCTGTAGATCTACATAGACATAGGCAGCATGATATTCTCCCATCTAATACATGTATCCAGAATTCATAAGCAATCTCCCAATTTGCAAGATTGTCTCTGCAAAGTTCTTAACTGGTTGCAAGTTGGACTCGTATCAGCATGATTCTTGACTCTGAGAATTTTGAATGAATGAACCTTAATTTTTTAACCAAAAAATCTTTGTGGAGATACTTAACACTCTTTAAGTTGTAACTATATGCACTTCATACATTCCTAAGAAAACTAACCAACACTCTATCTTTTTTTTTTTTTTGATAAATAACCAACACTCTATCTCCAATGGAACAACTTAAACTTTCATTTGGAGAAAAGAAATGTTGGAGAAAACATTAGCTATTTAAGGCCCATTTGGGAGAGCTTCAATGTTGATTGAGCTGCATTGACTGAGTCACTTCCAAGAAGCTACTAAACTAGCTTTCACTGGAAAGTCGGTTTCTCAGCTCAACATAAGCATTTCTTGGCATTCCGGGTTTTTCACCAAATACAGCTTCACGGCTTTCCAAGCCCTCCCAAACAGGCACTTAAGCTCAGTTTCTAAAAAATGGTTTCATGAAAACAGGAAGCTACCTAAATTTGAACTGAGCAGAGAGCCATGGACCTATTCTAAAGAACTAAATGAGGTGGGATGGCTGGGGGTTCCTACAATGTTCATATCTGGTGGTGAGCTCTATAGGGTGAAGGAAGATAATTTGGGTGATAAATGAAGAATAGAGATGGAAAAACAAGTAGACAACATGCCATCCACCAAAGAATGAGCAGGAGATTGTTAGCTGGAGGCAAAATCCTAGACACAAGTGAGTGAAGGAAAGTGATGGAAATACTAAATTTTTTCATGCAATGGCCAATAGCAAGAGAAGGAAAATTTTGATTTGTAAGTTGGAGGATGAAATACTAGGGCCTTTGTGGAGCATTTTAAGTCGACTTATGGAAGGCCCTTAAATCAGAGATTCTGGTTAGAATGTTTGGACTGGTCGAAACTGTCAGAGGAAAAAAAAAAAAAAGAGGTGGCTGGAAAGAGAGTTTGAGATGGAGGAAATTAGGGAAGCAATCTTCTCAATGGATAGATCTAAAGCACCTGGGCCTGATGGATTCACCATGGCTTTTTTACCAGGTGCTGGGAGATTCTAAGGCAGGATGTCATGAAGTATTCAATGAGTTCTTCTAGAGGGGGGTGATAGATCCAAGACTGAATTCAACCTTTATAGCTTTGGTCCCAAAGAATGTGGAAGCAAGTCATCCGAGAAACTGAATTCAACCTTTACAGAATCAAGGAGCCTTTGTGGGAGATAGATAGATTGTGGATCAAATTTTAATWAYCAATGAACGTGTGGAGGATCTGAAGAGAACAAGGAAGAAAGGGATTGTATGCAAGTTGGACCAAGAGAAGGCTTATGATATGGTTGATTGGTCTTTCTTGATGCAAGTGTTGGATTGCTTTGGCTTTGGGAAGAAATGGTGCAAATGGATATTGGACTGTATTGAGACTTGTCATTATTCTATCCTGGTGAATGGAATTGTAGTGGGTCACTTTCCAGCTTTAAGGGGAATTAGACAGGGGGGGCCCTTTCTCTTTTCCTTTTCACCTTGATTACAGAAGTGTTGGGGAGGTTAATTGAGAGAGCAGATTTGAGAAGCCCAGTGAGGGGATGGAGGGTTGGAAAAGATAGTATACCTATAACTCACTTATAATTGTTGATGATACTATCTTGTTTTGTGAGGGGGAGAATGTGAGATGGGCCAAAAACTTGAAATGGTGGTTCAAGTATTTGAGCAGATGTCTAATATGAAGGTGAATTTTGATAAGAGTTGTGTAGTGGGGATTAATATGGAAGAGGGAGCTATAAGTGAAAGGGCTGAAGCCTTGAGGTGTGTGGTGGCTCAATGGCCTATGAACTATTTGGGGGTGCCCTTAGGTGATAACCCGAAGAAAGAAAGTTTTGGAACCCTGTAATTGATAGGTTTCAGAAGAAGCTAGCCGCTTGAAAGAAGAACTATTTATCTCTGGGAGGCAAAATCACATTGATTAAGTCTACATTGGCAAGTTTGCCTGTGTATTACTTATCAATTTTTAGAAATCCCAGTAAAGATAAACAAATTATTGGAAAAGTTGATGAGGGACTTCTTGTGGGAACCAGGGGAGGAGAAGAAGGATCATAAGGTGAATTGGGATTTGGTCTCTAAAAGTAGGGCTGAGGGAGGGTTAGGACTAGGTAATGTTTGAAAGAAAAATGAGGCTTTGTTGGGGAAATGGCTATGGAGGTTGGAAGGTGAGAGGGGGAAGCTGTGGACTAGAGTTATTTTCAGTATTTATGCTTAGGTAGAGGATGGATGGGATACAAGGTCAACTGGAGCTTCTCCATGGAAATCCATTCATGTCGTTATACCTTCCTACAACACATCGAGTATGACCTTTGTTCTAGGAATCAAGTAAAATTTTGGGAGCACATTTGGGTGGGTGATTTACCTTTGAAAGACCAATTTCCTTCTCTTTCCTCACTTTCCCAGTACAAGGGCAAGTTTGTGTCTAGTTTTCTAGTTCCTTCTCAGTCCAACTTTGGGTTTGATTGGGACCTAGGGTTTAGGAGAGGCCTAAGGGATTCAGGAGCTGAAATTGCAATGAATTTGATTCAAATCCTAAATGGGGTGGTGTTGGATCCCTCAGAGTGTTAGACAGTGTATGCCCTTAGCTCCAATCAAACTGATGTATATAAACATTTATCCGTAAATGAATAAAATACATTGTTGTTTCATGTTTATATTGGTATGTTTTCTGTATATTACCCCTTAAACTAGACACTTATGAGACTCGTTTTAATTTAGAATGTTCTCAGCCATCAGATAGACTTGAGGAGTTTATCCTAACAAGGTTAACACTGGTGTGCTGCCAAATAGTTGGAGTAGCTTGTTTCAATTGCTAGGGTTAGACCCAAAGCACAGGTAGTGGGTGTTTGGAAGAAACACTAAACCCAGACCAATTTCTAGTTATGCCCTGGACCTTGGAGATAGATGGGCAAAACTGAAAAGTTGCACATAACCCCAAACTTGATTATGATACTACACTAAGTAGTGAACTGGGCTGCCTTTGATATGCCAACTAGTGAGATCCATCAAGGGTCAAATATCTGGGCATGATGGGGCAATTTGGGAAATTACTTGAGTGGGTGATCATAGTGATAGGATCAACCCCTTTGTCGGACAAAGAGCATATCAGGGCTTACACTCTCTCTAATGCAAACCTAAACTATCGGCAGTGGATTTCACCGGTGTTTGAAATCTGGTTTTGCAAAATATATTTACATATTATGTTATTATTTTATGAAAAAGGTTTGCAAAAAGTTTTAATCACGGGATCCATCCGAGCAAAGAGTGTGACACTACACCTTGCAGTTAAGGGAGAGGTCCTTCTCTGTCGGGCAGTGTACTGATGATTATGGGCCGAGAGGTTAAGTGTAAGACCATTACGGGGCTGATTATTTGATGGGCTTTATCTCACATAAGTCCATTATCCTTGAGTCTTCATAGGGTAGCTGAATCCAAGGATCATTTAGGTGTAAATGTTGGTCCCAGATTGAGCCCATGCTGATTGGCTTAGGGGTTCACTGCACTAAAAAGTGAATTCGGCCCAATCTCTTTCAGAGGTGGGGCCAAACCCTCATGGACTTGTGTGAGACCTTTGTAGGGTCCCATGCCATATATCAGGCCCAACATGGCCATGCAACACTTATGGACATAAGCCTTTAAGAGAAATGGGCCTAAGGCCCATTACTAATATGATTAATTAAGTTGTCACATGATTTAGGTCAAAACTGGGTATGGATTTGGATATGGAGCACTTATCTTCTTAAGAGGATAATGTTTATCAATTAAGAAAAGAAAAGTTTTGATCCAAATAAGATTTGGATCATCTCCTAATCAGACTAGGAATTTGCTCCATATAGAGATAAAGAGAGAAGTGGGTGAACTAGTCTTGGACTCTCTCTTCACATTCTTACTCTCTCTTCTTCTCTCTTGTCTCTCAAGAAACTCATCACGACCTAACCTTTTCAAGAACTGATTTCTATCAGTTTTCTTCTATGTTTTTGCAAGAAAAACATTAAAGAAACTCAGGCTCACTCATCCCACTAGATCCAAGCCAGAGTTGGATAGCAGATTTGCTGAAATCGGAGTTGTAGAATCAGTTTTTCCTATACACTGTGCCATCTTCAGTTGGAGCCTTGGAGGTCAATTTTGGGACTAATATTGGGCGTGAACTTCCACCTTGAGAGCTACGATCTGTGGTCTCCATATCAGGTATAATTCCCTTTCAATTTGGTTTCAAATCTAGTCTGGTTCAATACAAGATCGATCCTGAAAATTCAATTTTCAAATTTACCAGGAAAACGGTTCCCGAATGGGTTAAAAAATTTTTTGAAAATTTGCCCAGCCATCCATATGATGGATTCTAAACCCTTCTAACACTGAGAGGGATAAGAGACTATGGACTCTAACTCCCTCCGGGACATTCTCTTGTGCTTCCTTCTTTAATTCCCTCCTGCATTCTACCAGTAATTTGGCACAAAATTTCCTAGTTAAGGAAGTTTGGGGGTGAGCCAATTCCTCCAAGGGTTGGAGCTTTTTGTTGGGACTTGGGAAGTCTTCTTGGAAAGATGTAATACCTGTGATTTACTCCAAAGGAAAAGGCTTTATTGGTGCTTATCTCCTAATTGATGCATTATCTGTAAGGCTAATGGTGAAAGCTCCTATTACTTATTAATTTCTTGCGGAAAGGAATTCCAGATTTTTTTCTGAAAAGGAAATAAGTAGAGAAGATATTATTGAGGTCATAACAGTCAGGGTGGTGCATTGGATAAAATTTGTACAGCTATATGATGATGTTTCTACGGTTACGCTGCTGAACAATTGGATGGAAGTGGCTAACTCTGCATCGTCTCAGTTTTTTGCTGCTCCTATGTGGTCACCTCCTGGTAATGGATTTATAAAGTTAATTTTTGATAGGAGTAGTGAAGGTAACCCAGGCCCTTCAAGTGTAGGGGGTGTCTTCAGAGATGAGGAGGGGAAGGTGTTAGAAATGTATTTGTGCTCCATTAGGGTTGGAAACTCTCTTAGAGCTGAGATCTACGTTGTTCTGGAAGGTATTAGAAAGAGTAAGGAACTGAATATACAGAAGTTAATTATTGAAGGAGACTCAAAGTTTGTGGTAAGTTGGTTACAGAGGGGAAGCAGTCTTTGGAAGTTTGCTAATGAAAGAAAGGAAATCAAATGGCCAAATGGCTAACTAGGGGGATGGACATCCATTTATGCTCTGGCAAAGTAGGGGTGGGTAGGGATCAATTGTACTAGGTTGTATTGTGAGACGTTATTTTGCTCTCTTGTAAAGAGTTAAGTCTTTTTAACTCTCTGAATTGGTGTACCTATTTCTTATTAATCTAATGAAATTCTGTTATTGATCAAAAAAAAAGTTGCTTGGAAGATGATAAAAAAACTCATACTAAAAAGAACTTAGGATATTTCTCATCTTTGAGATCTTAGCTTGCAATTGAGCATCCCTTAGATTGTTCCCAAGTTAAAACTATCACAGAAAACCTTGTGTTAAAAGAACCAAGGAAATACTCCTACAAAATCATTGGAAAACATTAACCTATCCATGCAAGTATGCAATAACATGCATCAGAAAAAGAAACATGTACAAGCTCAACCCATGTCCTAAGGGGGCATAAAAGTTGATATTCTGCATGACTAGATACTAATGTCAAATTCTGTATCTTATAAAATCCTCAAACTTCATTTTGGTTAGTGTCAATGAATATTTTTACACCTTGAATTTAAGTTCCAGGAATCACAAAGTCAACTTCTTCACAAAAATCATCACATTTCATATGTTACTCTAAATGCTTTGAACTTAAATGAAACACCCGAACTTCATTTGATAGGATTAAAAGTCAAAAATAACATTTGAATATTCATTTGTTCTTTTTGTTTGCAAAATACCAATATCCAAAGCAATAAACCACTATTGTTAATAAATGTGAAATTGTAAATCTTCAACCTCCACGGATTGGGTAGCAATTTCTAACCAAAGAATTAGAGGATGCTGGTAAACAATTTTATGCAACTCCTAGGTTCTTCACCGTACAGACATGGTTAGATTCATCAAAAATGCAGACCACCAAACGATGTTGGGCATGTCATTTCTTGGGTCCTACATTGTCCACAGGGAGAAGAAAAGAAGTTGCATAAATTCAATTTTTACTAGCATTCACCAATGAATTAAATCTAACAGTATCATTCGGGATGAAAGGAACAGCCTAGAAATAGAATATGCAAAGCTTTTAAGTGAAAATGTGCCATAGTCCAAGGTTATACAAAGTGCTACAACTCGTGCAAAATTAAGCCTACGCAAAAGCAAGAAAATCAATTAGAGAATTAATTACTGTGACAAGCTCCGATATGAGCAAAGGAGATAATCCGGCATTAACCAATTCCTCTTCCAAGGTTCGACCGGTGAGCTCGTACAAGTCCGCCCATTTAAGCATCTCATCAACAGACTCGAAAACAGGCCGAGAATCAAAATCCCAGTAGTACTTCAAGAATTTATTCACTGCACTCTGCAGTAAAAAGAACAATTCAAGACACTCTGCAGTAGAAAAAACACTTCAACACACAAATACCAGAGAGAGGGGAGACCTCGACGAAGCGATTCATTTTGAAAAGCGAAAGGCCGTATCGATAGAAGATGCGGCAAGAATTGATGAGTGACACGAGCTTCTTGTACAGAGGGGACTTTGAGTTGGTGTCAAGGGTTTTAAATAAGAATTGGGTACCATCCCAAATGCCGAGAGAGAACGGGGAGGAAGAGGGCTCCTTGATGCGAAGGTTAAGGAACTTGGTGAAATTTAAGGCATGTAAATTCTTGGGATGCAAAATGGAAGCCCCGGCCTCGAAAGTGTCTCCGGCGATGGAGACCGTCGCCATTCTCCCTCCGACGACTCCGTTCCGTTCGAATATCAAGATGTCTCCGATGGTCGGATATGAAGGGTGGGAAGAATACTGGCGGAGGAAATGAGCAACGGATGAGCCTCCGATGCCGCTCCCGATTATACAGACGTTCTTCACATCGTTTGTATTGGTAGAGTGAGGAGCTTCGGCGGCTAGAGAAAGTGAAGCGGAGACAATGAAGAGAGCCAGAGAAACAACAACAGCTGGCAACATCTCTTCCTCTCTTCTGTCCACGATAAATTGTTGATCGAAGAAGAGAAAGACAACGAGCCTTTTTCTGTTTTCACTAAAAGCCTCTGAATTTGTAAATCAGTGAAAAAGAATAAGAAGAAGAAGAAGAGATCTTCGCACGGAATGGAGAGAGTAGAGAGCTGAAAGCATACGCCTTGAGGCTTAAGCCTTGAGCGCCTCCCAAGGCCCTCGTGAAAAGGACGCAAACGCCTTAAGCGCCTTGAGGCGTAAAAGGCGTAAGTGTGGGTCCCAGTGTCCCACCAATATTAGCACCAGAAGACAGAAGTTTTTACCAACAATGAAACTCAAGCCGGGTTTATGGGCTTTCCGAACCTATAAAAGAAATAATGCAAACATAAAAGAATTATTTAAAACTAGAAACAATATTATATTGAAATTATAAAACTAGAATATTAACACCAAACAAAAAAACACTTATCTAGTACTAAGAAAAATCCCTAAAAATATTTAACACATAGGGGTTCCAAAAGAATCATTTAAATTTTAAAATAAGCATACATTGAAAGCAATCATCTATGTTCCATGACTGTTTGGTTGAGCGGATTCAAAATCTCATTCCCATTCCTGCTGGATTGGCATTCCCCCTTTTGAGGGAATGGCCATTCCCTGTCCCTCCCTAAATAAGATCATCATGACTGCAATTAAGAATATGGGATATTTATTTTTTATAAATTTATCAATATATATACACACTCTCATGTTATCCCCCCTAACAATCCCCCAAAGACACTTCTTGTAAAATCCTCTTTAAGTCCTGTTTGGTTCATGGAAATAGGGGTATGAAATCAGAATCAGAATGGTCATTCTAATTCCAACTGTTTGGTTGAGCGAAATTGAAATCCCATTCCCATTCCTTGTAGAATGGCATTCCCCACATTTGAGGGAATGGTCATTCCCTCTCCCTCCCTTTGGGAATGAAATATCATTCCAGCTAATTCCAATTCTTATTTGAACCAAACAGACTATGGGAATTGACCATTCCGATTCCGATTATGATTCCGAAGGATTTCAATTCCGATTCTGACTATGAACCAAACAGATCCTCAATTCTCTCTAGTGTGCCACATTCTTGGTTTTATTGTGTCAAGCTCTCTACTCCTTACTACTTTTTTGTTCTATATTCCTATTTCAATATTCTATATATACACAGATTTGTTACTTCACCTAAAAGCATGYTTTCTAAAAATATGTAGCATTGCTATGGGAATAGAATCAATGTTATTAATAACAACTAAATTGCAAATTGTATTAGGCAATCATGAAGAAGGAATATTACCACTATTTTTTTCTTATCAAAACATTTAGGCTGTGTTTGGGAATGATGCAAATAAGTGTGAATGTAGATATGTAGAGTGTAAAACAGTTCATATAAATTGCAAAGTTGGATTAGTTTTGCATTGACAAATTTATCTTCTTACCAAACAGATTTTTAGCTGTAATGATTGCAAACACGAATTCCAATAAAGCATATGCCTTTTTTTATCAAAAGCCCACTTGAATGCAAATTTACTTCTTTTTATTGATATACTTTTACATCTTATTATCAATGTAAATATGCATTGGTCTGACATTTGTCTATGCATAAATGTAATGTTGCCAAACAAAGGCAAAAGTGAACTAGAGTGCAAATTTACCATTAGCCGGGGTTTACACTCTATTTGCATCATTTCCAAATGCAGCCTTAGGTGTTGTTTGACAAGTATTTCTAAGTAGATATTTCAGTAGCCAAACAGATTAGAAGATAAATAATATTTTTGGTATTGTCTTTAAAGACCAAGACATTTTGGTAAGCATACATTTTGATTTGTTGGGCTATCGAAAACATATTGGAATGATATTTTTGTTAGACAGTTTTGTATGCCCTTAGCTTCAATCAGAATGATGTACATTATGAGTTTATTGTAAATGAATAAAAGTACATATTTGATTCATGTTCCATTGGTATGTTTCTGTATAATACCCTTAAATTGGACACTTAATGAGACTCGTGTTAGTTTAGAATGTTCACAGCCAGTGTGTCGGTCTGGGGAGACCTATCCTGATAAAGGCTGACACTGTTGTGCTACCAAGTCGGTTGGGGTGGCCTGTCTCAGCTGC